TCGCCCAGCGCCTCGATGACCTTATTCTTCAGGTCCATGATCGAGGCCTCCTGGTCGCTCTTGAAGATGAAGTGCTTCACCCCCGTGTACTCGATGGCCTCCGCCACCCACTTGATGATCCAGACATCCTTCGTGCCCTTGCTCGTCACGGCGATCGATACGGTCCATCGCCCTTTGTGTTCCCGCAGCACCAGTGTAGGTTCTGCCCGCTTGTCGTCTCCTCCAAAGAACGTGTAGTCGATGGAGATCGTGTTGACCAGATGCTCTCGCTCGGCGTCCAGTCGCTTATGATCAGCATTACGGCCGCGTCCTCCCACGCAGTCGCCGCACCATGCCCTGAACTGCACGTGCCCTGCCGCCTCGTGCGCCTCGCGCTCGGCCATCGTCGGCTCGAACGGTCGTGGGACCACCGTGACCGGTGGGTCGCCCATATCGTCATCCTCCTCGTCCTCCAGCTGGGCCTCCACGGGTTCCGCCGCTGCCGGCGCTGCCGAAGAGCTCCCGCCTCCAGTACTCGGTCTTACTGCCGCGCAGGCCGGCTGTTTCCCGACACTGCGCTGAGGTCCGGAGCCGACCGCTCCTGACCAGTGACCTTCTTCAGCTTGATCGTGTATACTCCACGTCGTAGGTGGATCGGCAGCCTCCTGCCGCTCGCGATGTGCTTCAGGTAGCACTCCCTCGGCCCGAAGTAAACCTCGTGGCCCTTCGCCACCAGCTTCGACACCGCCAGCAGCATGCGGTGCACTCCAGTCGATGTGCATCGCAGTCTCCTCGTGCTGCCGTCCTCCGTCATGACCTCGATGACCTTCTCGCCCTCGTCCTGCACCAGCTGCCCGTTGGCCGCCCGGTAGCTCGTGCCCATCTCGCTGGATACCGTCGGCCTCGTCCTCACCTCCGGGAACCAGGTGTTCGGAACGACGCTCTCTGCCGCGCCGGAGTCCACAGCCGCGTAGAAGAACTCCTCCGCTACGTCGTCTACCGCATTCAGCTCCAGGGTGCACAGGTCCAGCCCGCCGATGTTGCCCGGCTGCTCGGTCTCTGGCTCCTGCTTGTCGTTCGTCTCCAGGCTGTGGGCCCCACGCTTCGCTGGTTGCTGCTGCCCACGAGACGTTGGGCAGTCCTGACGCTTGTGTCCCCAGCCCCAGCACAGCGAGCAGTAGCCTTGAAACTCTTGTTGCTGTTGCTTGTCTGGCTGACCTCCAGGTCGCGGCCGAGACGAGTAGGGTGGAGGCGGCCGGTCCTTGAACTTCCCTTTGCCCTTCTTGCCTCTGCCGCCCTTGCCGTCGCCCTTGCTGCTGCTCTTGCCGCCGCCCTTCGGGTGTTGAGGACTCTTGTGGGCGCCACCGCCCGGCGCCCAGCAGTCGACCTTCTTGTGTCCCTTCTTCCCGCAGTTGTTGCAGGTAATGTCCTTCTGGCCGAGGCTCCCGACGTCCATGGGCGAGGCCATCTCGTTCACCTTCGACTCTAAGTAGCTCTGGATCTCCTCCCGCACGCTCATGTAGGTCTTCATCTTGTTCGCGTTGAGCGTCAGGTGGTCCTTCAACGCGCCCTTCGTCATGCTGACGAGCACCTGCGCCTTGATGTCCTCCTGCATCGGTTGGCCAGCTCGCCTCTCGTAGACTCGAAGCCTCTCCTCCCACTTGGCGATGTGGCTGTTTAACTGTGGAGCATCGACCGCCCCTGGCTGGATCAGCGAGCCCAGGATGTTCCGCCTCCTGCCCGCTCCTTGCGGATCGAACCTCCGCGACACCACTCGCCACGCCTCGAAGCCGTCGTTGTCCTTCGTCGCCTGCGCCAGGTCCAAGGCTTCGCCATCCGTGAGCTGCGCCAACACTGTGCACAGCTGCCTGCCAATCATCTTTAAGTCCGCATCCTCGTTCTCGTGCGTGAAGATCTCCCTGATATCGTCTAGGTTGTCCTGTGTCAGCGCTTCCTCCTGGTCCTGAACGTAGTCCAAGGCCTCCTTGATGCCGCTGACAACGCCCTCCATGAAGTTCTGCAGCTTGAACGCCCACGAACTCCAAGACTTCATGTCGCTGTTGTAGACGCTCGGCTTGCCGATTCCCTTCACGTCCACCAGTTGAACTCGTCTCTTGGTCGAGTCTCTCTCCGTGATGATTGTCTGCTGCAGCCTCGTCATCGCCTCCAGATCTTGCGTCCGTTGGGCCTGTACTGCATTCACTAGGTCTCGTTGCCTCGTCAGCTCCGCCGTCAAGTCTCTCACCTGCACGGTCAGCAGCTCCAGTTGTTGCTCGGGCGTGCTCATCACTTCGACAGAGTGAGGCACTCACGGAGTCGTCCTCGTAGCTCTCGGGTGCCCAGCCGTTGAAGAAACTGTCCGGTGTGGCCCCAGTAGCGCTGCAATCTCCGCACTCGCCAGAGCTGCTCGCACACAATCCACCAGCGTTCTCGTATCGACAGGTTCCTCCTGCTGCGCCGCACCACAAGCCAATCAGCCTTACCACAAGGCTCTTCGTCGCTACTATCTTGGCGCCACGCGCCGGAAGATGTAGTGGTAGATGGAACGGTGCGGTCGCCGGATCGTATTGAACCAGCTCCTGCTACCATGATTAGATGGTTTTGAACCAACACGACTGCGGAGCGAACCCCCGCATCACAATCACTCACAGTTCCTTTCCAAGGGATATGTACTATGCACTGATACACACCATCCACACACCAACCTCACGCGCCACACAGACCACAAACCACACCCACCACACAAACCGCACAGACCACACACACCACACACGTGTGGCCACACAGACCACACACACCACACAGACCACACAGACTACACACACCACACCACACACACCACACACACACCACACACGCCACACACACCCGACACACCCGACACACCCGACACAGCCCACGCAGCCCACACAGTCTATGCAGCCCACACAGCCTACACACCCCACAAACCGACGCACCCCACACACCCCACACACCACGCACCCCACACCCCAGAGACCAGAACCCACACACACAGACACAGACACACAGACACACAAGCACAAACACGCACACACACACACGCGCACACACGCGCCCACACGCGCACACACGCGCACACACCCGCACACACGCGCACACACGCGCGCACACGCGCACACACGCACACACGCGCACACACGCACACGCACGCACACACACACACACACGCGCGCACACGCACACACACGCGCACACACATGCACACACACACACACGCACACAAACGCACACACACGCACACACACGCAAACACACGCACACACACACACGCACACACACACGCGCACACACGCACGCACACACACGCACACACACACGCACACACACACACGAACGTACACACACGCACACACATGCACACATACACGCACACACACACGCACACGCACACACACAACACACACAACACACACACCACACACAACCCACACAACACAGACAACGCATAACACACATAACACACAGAACACACAGAGCACACAGAGTACACAGGCACACAGAACACACACAGCACAGGCAGAACACACAGAACACACAGCACACACAGAACACACCCACACAACACACACCACACACCACACACCACCCACACCACACACCACACACATCACACACAACACACAACACACACAACATACACACCACGTACGCATCACACACAACACACACCACACACCACACAGAACACACAGAACACACAACACACACAGCACACAACACACATCACACACAACACACAACGCACAACATACCACACCGCACAGACACCACACTCCAACCACACACACACCAACCACACACACACAGACCCACACACCAGCCACACACACAGACCACACACACAGACACACACACACACCCCACACACCCCACACCCCACACCGCAGAATCCAGAACAAACAAACACACACGCACACGCACACGCACAAGGCACACTCACACGCACACGCGCACACGCACACACGCACACGCACACATGCACACGCACACACGCACACGCACACGCACACGCACACGCACACGCACGCGCACGCGCACGCGAACGCGCACGCGCAAGCGCGCGCGCACGCGCACGCGCACGCGCACGCGAACGCGTGCGCGCACGCACGCACACACACAACAAACAGACAGACAGACAGCCAGACAGACAGACAGACAGCCGGACAGCCACAGAGACAGACAGAGACAGACAGAGACAGACAGAGACACACAGAGACACACAGAGACACACAGACAGACAGATAGACAGACAGACAGACAGACAGACAGACACACATAAATAGACACACATCCCAGGATTCCCCTATATTTTCTGTGTTTTAGTCTCCCCCCACTTCCCATATTTTCCTATATTTGTTGGAAGTCGACATTGACTTGTGGCTGTGTTTTTTCCCCTCCTGAGATATGGCGCGATCGCACCTAGCCTGGCTTTCCTCCCCTCTCCGGACAACTCGCCGCGGCATCGTTTCTGGATGCGCGAAGCGTCAAGACTCTGGGGGAATGCAACACGAAAGGGGCCCATGGACATACACATAAATAGACACACATCCCAAGATTCCCGACACTTTCCCGTGCTTTCTGGGTTTTCGTCTTCCCCCCCCAAACTCCCAGACTTTCCTATACTTTCCTGGGGGCCGCAGATTCACTGTGTCTGTGTGTTCTTTCTCCTCCTGAAGCACGTGCGCGGCAGCCCGGATCGGAGGGGAGCCGTGGTTCGGCCAATCCAGTCGGGGCGTTGACCTAAGGAACCCTAAATAAGGAACGAGGCCCCTTTTTTCCATAAGTTAAACCTGAGGCAAGCTGTGAAATACTCAAGGAACGCGGAGCCCCTCCCCAACCAAAAGGGTTCCTTCTTCAGGGCCCCGACTGTACAGCAGCACAGATAGCTGACCAGCTCAGCAAGATACGCACGTTGTGAGCAATCCAGGGCCGACGCAGCGAAGCAGAGCTAGAAGTCTGCGCGAACTGAACGGATCGGCGCGCCGACGCTAGCCGATCGCCTGGCCGAAGGGGGATGCCGTCCGGCCACTTCTTGCAAGAGACGCCAGAAACCATGCCTTTCTTCCTGGCCGGTCGGCGCATCACTGACATAGCTTCGCTTGACATGAGGTTGCTTTTCGACTCCGCGGACACATGTGGTAGCGCGGGACTGGCGAAGTGGTTGCAGGGAGATGCCTGAGAACATGCCCAGTCCTCGCCAGTCAACGCATCCACGCTTGTCATCGACATCGATTGACAAACAGCTCCTGCTATGATTACGCTTGGACCTGAACCACGCCTGCGCACCCTTACAAGAATGAGGCGGGGGAGTAGGACAAGGCGGCGGCAACTGGGGAGGAGAAAGAAGAGGAAGAGGGGGATCACGAATACCAACAGGTCATCAACATAGTGGGCCCGCAGACAGCGCCACGAAAATTCGCCCTTTCCATATGGGCTCGCGTTCTCGTGCGCGTGGAATTACTCCTTCCTCCTCCATCTTCCTCCTCCTCCATTTCCTCGCGCCGCTGTCATGGGTGGAATGTATGCAAGAACGATTTCAGTGTATGTTCTTGGCTCTGGCGGCCAAGTGTTTCGGAATTGAGGAATAGGACGCAGAAAAGGTGTGGACTCCTCATGCAGTAATCCACCAAAGGGGGAATGCACAGGGAGAAGCGGGAGGAGGGAGGGCGACGGTATGCTCGTGCCTATCTCCTTTTCCTTCTCGAGTCAATCAGTCCGCCGCGCGCCCAAGCAATGCTCTTTTAATCTTCTGAGCTGCACTCGCTTCGGCGCTTGACCATCGAGTATCATCGTCTTGCGCACTCATCTATGGTCCTGTGAAGAACTGGGCGTTCAGGCGGATCCAAGCGCTTCAAGAAACACCTCGTGGCGACCCATCCGCTGTACCCCGCTTAACATTCACCATTCTCCTCCCACCCTCCCACGTTACGTTCGTGTCGCTACACATCCCAGCTGCGCGATGTTCCACTTTATCAACAATGCGAGAGCAATGTGGATGCTCATCACCGTCGCGTCGCCCATGCTTGCGACACACCAATGGTGGTCAGATGGATGTGAATGTCACAAATGCGCCCAAGACACATCATCGCGGTGCGCTCGGAACGAATTTGGTATGGAACAGAGGTGCGCCCCGATTTTCGGACTGCCCATGAGGCACACGTCCGTAGCGCCAGTCATGTTTCTGGCCTTGCCCCACGTCCACGCGCCGCACTCCTTTTCGAGGAAGCACTGCTTGGCACAGTCGTCTGTGCTCTTGACGGGGTACAGGGTGCGAAGCGCATGACTGGTGAAGTAATCAATCCCTTCCTAGAGGCAGAAGGGCGAGGACAAATGAAGGGCTGACGCAAGAACGATCACCGAACACGTACAACCACGCCACAAAGACACACTGACAACACCGAAGATGCCAGCCAAACAACAAGCATACTCATGACACATGAAGCAACCATCGTCATCAAACAATATGCAAGTGCATGCTGCGTGCTAGATGACTGCACCTGGCATGCCTCCAATCCAGACTGTCCTTTTTACGTGTATGTGCACGGCAAGGCAATGTGGAACAACGAAGTGAAGTCTAGAATGATACGCATCTGAACGCAACATGACAATTCATAACATTGCACCGCTTATCATATAATTGCAGATCAGCGTTGTGCAACATTAGGCAACATAGCATTGCGTAGCATGGCATCGGGTATCACAGCATTGCATGTTACGACATCGCACCGACTAGCACGGCATAGCTTGGCGTAACATAGCTAAGCACGGCATTGCATAGCCCAATAATGACATATCACAAACAACGTAGTGTAGCACAAACCAAAACTTAGCATCGAACTGCGCAAAGAGCTGTCGACGAATAACCAACCCGACTGGTTGCACCGGACAACGCTTCTCCTCACGAAACAATCACAATCTCCTTGGCCAGACTTAGCAACGAACATTCGTCCAGTATGAAGATGGGAGGGACGTCAAGCCGTACATTGTTTCAGAATGTGCAAAACAACTGCATACAGATTCTGTCCTGAGGAGGACTGCAGGAATCGTCCATGGGTTCGGTGGTGGTGATCGTTGTCTCCACCGTTGTCGTTGCTGACGTCAGTGTCGAAGCCCCGGTTGACGTGAGCGTCCTGGCACGGCAAACGCCCAATCGCACCTCGAAATAGACACCGCGGCACCCAAGGAGGTAGAACACCAACACGCCATGATAACGTGATGCCGTCCGATGGCTTTCCACAGGGACGTGCTGGCAACAGCGCAGGTCTCCTCCGTCACCGGCAGCGCGCTGGGCCCGCGCTGCGCACGCAAGTGCCGCTGCCAACCTGCGGCCTTGCCTGCTTGGTGCCTTGGATCCTGCTGGATTCTGTTGTGGCCACGTGTCGCACTTATCTGACGATCCTTTGGGCATGCCGGCTCTCATGAGGTGAAGAAAACATGTAACATCCGACTCACGCACACATACGCACATACATATACATATTTCGTCGTCGTCACGCGCGGCTTGCAAATGACATGCGCACCAAGTAACGGTGAACAACATGCAAACGCGAACACATGTCATCGTATTCAGAACACTCGTTCCAATAGCGCCTTGGGTCGTCATCTACTGATGACGCCGATGCACGCCAATACGCGCTTCCTTCCCGTGCGAACGACAACCTCCCAACAGAACGCACCCGCGGAAACACGCATGGAATTGCTGGCGCTGGTTCTGGCAGAATTCCCACGCGCTCTCTCTCTCTCTCTCTCTCCCTCATTCAGTACTTCGCCTGATGCTACTTCAGTCCTAGTGGTCGTAGCTCCGAGAGTGGTGGTTATCGATGTGCCAGTCGTCAAAGTACTGACTGACACCCAAGCAGTGTGATATGGAAACGTATTTGAGCAATAGAAGGGGCAACCAGTGCAACATGTAGATACAAACATACATATCTGTTTACATTTATGGACATATGCATTTTGTGTACATACACGTTTCCCGCAGACTGCAGAAGAACTTGAACCCAGCCTGATGCAAATGCTCCATACACCACCCAACATCGGAACACACATATACCTCGGTGCTTCCCTCACTGGAAATAAACTTCGACGCTAATCGATATGCCACCCCATCGACATGCACGCTGGAGTACAACTCGGTTCTGCCTCGTCCGCCGCCAATCGATGCATCGCCCGATAATAAAAGTCCCGCTGAAGCCCTTCCCAAGAAGCTTACCGACCTTGTCAGATTCAGATCGGTAACATGCCCTTCTGGATCTATCGGACGCCCCTCCTCCTCCTCCTCCTCCTCCTCCTCCTCTTCCTGCGTTTGCTTCTCCTCCTCCAATGTGGGTGCAAGACGACGCCGGTATATGTATATATACACTCGAACTGCCACCGCAATACTATCTAGACTACGCGTAATCTTGATCGGAGAGCGTAGAACAAAATCAAGAGCAAGGTATTTGTTTGCTCCCAACGCGTTCCGGAAAGCCTTCTCCAGAACGCACTGGGTCCCGACAACCTCTTTTGGTGGCATCTGTCCTCCGAGGTGGGGCAAGTTTTGTTCGCCCTGACCAGTGCCCGCAGCATACAGCTACAGAGTCGCGGCGACGAGGTCACCCTGGAGCGATGCGATTTATTTTCTCCGGGTTCCACCTGCACGCCTTCGTAACCCTGAGGAGGAGGAACTTTCCTCATGGTAGCACGATGCGCGCCGGTCGTTGCAAAAACACTATCTACTCTCTATCGTCAAATTCTATCAGGGACCTCCAGCACATCTCCTGGCTGGTGTCATCGGGCCCAAGTGTCCCCGAACAGCCCCATCAATCCTCCATGAGGTACCGCGATGGCCCTCCCAAACAATGCAAGAAGTGCCCGGGAATGCCACTGCATTAAAGGACCGAACAGCGCTGGAGACCTGGTCAATGGGCCACGCCGGGCAGGCAAGGTGAGCGGGACCAGTCTTTGTGCACTCCGCGCTGCGCATTGCATCTCTCCGCTCCCCCTCTGGCCAAATAGGCCTGTCCTCTGTCTGTCGAAGCGTAAACATTCTGGCTTGAAGAGCTACTGCGGGGCGAAACATGCAGCACCTTCGCATGGGGGAAACGGATCCTGAGGGAAACGGGTTCTGGACTCTGGGGCCTTTCCTCAGGACCAGTTTCTCACCCTGAATCGATTTCTGTCAGCCCTAGGGCCCGTGGAGGGCCCCAAGGGCGGCGAAGCGTCGCTGTTCGAATGGGTCTCGTTCCCAACCGCTGGAACACATATTCGCGCCCCTGCGGCTGAAGTCTCTGCCCCACTCTGCGCAAGACGAAATCAGGATGAGGATACATTCCGGGAAGAATCAGATCGAGAATCTCTGAGATCTGGCGGCTCTGGACGATGTATCGGGCGCCGCGGCCTTCTCAAAGCGTTCCAGAACGCTCCGAATCGAAGAAGGAACAACGCCATAATCATAAGCTTTTGGCGCTCCGCGCGTAGCGCCACAACTTATGTTTATGGCGTTTTTCCTTCTTCGACGGAGGTCTCTGGAGGCTCCAGAACGTTCCGAAGCTTACATCCTCGTCCTGGCCGTCTCTTTCCTCCTTCACGCCCCCCTCTTCCAGGGCGAGATGACGTCATGACATGATTGGCTCCATCTACGTTCCAGGCTTTCCAGAGCATATAGCGGCGCAGCTGATGCGGAATGACAGGAAACATGTGACATCCTGGATGGTCTTGGAGACCTGTCCTGGAACGTATCATTATCATAACCTCTTGCTCCTCTGATCTTCCTCCTCCTCCTCCTCGCGACTGGGGCACGGTCGAGCAGAGCGGTGCTGGCCCGATGAAGGCAGAGCCCAGGGGGCCTGTGGACGTGTTGGCGTGGGGGGGCACGCCGCGGATGGTGCAGTTGCGCTGGGAGAGCACTCCTGGGCCACGCCAGCAATTGGGGGGTGGGGGCTGATCCGAAGGCCCTCCCGTCCAGCCTCCTCCCTCCCTGCCTCCTCCTGCCTCCCCTTCCTGCCCGAAGACACCGGCTTCCGAAAGTCTCCAGTCTCCAGCCCCCTCTTCCTGCCGCCTTCCTTCCTCCTGCCTGGTCCACGCTCTTTCCTCCTCCCTCCTCCCCCCTCAGTCCTGGCTGCTGCTCCCCTCTCCTGCCTCCTACACTCGCCCTCCTCCTCCTCCTCCTCCTCCTCCTCCTCCTCCTCCTCTTGTTTCTCATCTCCTGCCTGTAGCCATTTTTGGCTCAACCATTGGCTCAAACTTTCTGTGGTCAGCTTGTGGCTGCCGGGGCGTCAAGAGTCGAGCACTGTACCTCCGTCGTGGAGCTTGGGTGGCACCAAAGATACAGGCCAAGACTGGCTCAGCGCCTGCGGTGGCTAAACAGGATGACTTGGCCGAATCCATCCAGCCCTCTAGGTGCAGGTGGTATAACAAGCTCCATCTTCCCTCTTCGGCAGCCCCGTCGTCCCCTCTTCGGGAAGGAACTTCTGTTCCTCACTCAAGTTACAACCCCCTCCCGCGCCCGACTGGCGACAAACCAGGGCCACTGACGACCCACCCCCCGCCATCCGCTGACCGCTGGCTTCGCCGACAATTGGTTTCGCCGCCGGGCGAAACCAGCTGCCGTCGGCGAAACGAGCTTCCGTCGGCGAAACCAGCTTCCGTCGGCGAAACTAGCTGCAGTCGGCGAAACCAGCTGCCGTCGGCGAAACTGCCCGACCCGACCAGCCCGTTAGGGTCCGTCCACCCGACCCGACCCGCTCGTTACGGTTCGCGCGTGTTCGGTCGAGCGCGCCCCACACTCTACTGTCCCGCCAGCCCGACCCGACCCGCCCGCTAGGGTTCGCGCGTGCTCGGTCGCGCGTGCCTTATACTTGAATGTCCCGTCAGCCCGACCTGGCCCGCCCGTTAAGGTCTGCCCGCCCGACCCGACCCGACCCGCCCGCCAGGGTCCGCCCGCCCGACCCGCCCGTTAGGGTTCGCGCGTGCTCGGTCGAGCGTGCCCTACACTTTAATGTCTCGCCCGCCCGACCCGACCCGCCCGCTAGGGTCCGCCCGCCCGACCCGACCCGCCCGCTCGGGTCCGACGCCCGACGCCCGACTACGACGACGACGACGACGACGGCTGCGACGGCGACGGCGACGGCGACGACGGCATCGGCAAAACCAATGCCGCCGGCAACCGTCGGAGAACCCAGCGGGGCGAAACTAGCGCCGGCGAAACCAGCTCATGCCGACAAGCAATGAAACACGGCAACGTATGAGTCATGTCGGGGGGGCCCGAGAGCACTCTGTATGGTTCTTTGACAGGGGGCGGCGGGGGTGCCAGCAGATGGCTTGCCGTGCGCAGGGCCACCATGCCTGTCGAAAACAATACACATTGCATGTCGCGTCAAAATTTGGATCATACGCGGGCATCTCACGATCACCTTGCACTGTGATTTTGACAGGGGCGGCGGGGAAGATAATATACTGCCTGCTGTGCGCAGGCCCACCAGACATCATGACGGCCACTCAACCGCGATGTGGAATTGGTTTTCGACAAAGATGGTCGAGGCCGACATGTTTCCCGATGTGCGCGGTCGCATCTGGCACACTCTGCGCGTGCCCCGAAGGGGGCGCACCTGATGCGGCTGAAGTTTCAGAACGCTTGGCGCACGTGGCGCATTTGGGGCATCCGACGTGCCTGGCACACCTCGCCCAAACGTCGCGCACCTGGGGTCTGTCTTGGATCCCAGTAGCTGTCCATCCAAAGAGACGACCGCTGAGTGTGCAAAGACTCGGGTACTACTTATGTGTTGGGAGAGCGCGTGGGAGTGAGCCAAACAGTTTGAGCCTGGGGGGGTAGCTTGATCACTGCTCCCATACATGAACACTACTTCCCCCACTCGACCGGCAGCCCACCCGGACGCATGCGCCCACCCCCACCATCGCTGTCAACAAACAATGCAAACTCAACTTTGCCTTCAAATCTGGGGCATGCGCGGCGATCACAGTGCATTGGTTTTCAATAAGGGCGGCGGGAGTGCTGGCATATTACCTGCTTTGTGCCGAGCCCTCCCCGAGCCCCCCACCACCATCCAGCCCAGAAATCTATGCAACATGCACTTCGCGGCAAAATCTTGGGCCATGCTCGGGGGCCCCGCGAAGATGTCATTTTGTATTTTGTTTTTGATAGGGACGGCGCATGCGGCCTGCTTTGCGCAGGGCCACCATTCCTGTCGAAAAACAATACACATTGCATGTCGCGGCGAAGTCTGTATCATGCGCGGGCACTTAGTGCCACTGCTGTTGTGAGCAATCATTACCTCCCTGGTGCCCTGCGGGTGGTGACCCATGCTGCAGTACTTGTTGTGACTTATCGTTTCTGCCCCGGTGCCCTATGGCTAGCGCCCTGTAATGCGACGTGTGTTACGATGTGTTGTTCTCGCTTTGGCGCAATATAGGTGGCGCCCTATCGCTGGTGCTGTATGTTGACAAAACTGCTGTGACTTATCGTTCCCGCCCGGGTGCACCATGGGCGGCGCGCCCATAGTTCGCACCCGCTGCGTCGCTCTTGCGGGCACATACCATGTAGTCCCTGGTTCCCGCACTTGTGAGCTGCTACAGCCCCCTGTTTGAGGTCCACGCTGGCGATTCGTTTTCCTGCCTTCTTCCTCCTGCCTTCTTATCTCCTTACTTCTTCCTCCATCCTCCTATCTCCTACTTGCTTTCCCCGCCCTCCCTCATTCATTTTCCTCCCCGCTGAAGCATTCATGTATCCAACGTGTTGCCCTCGTCTTCCAGGCCTTCGAGCCCCCGGTGCGCGCTGGCTGAAAGGATGAAGCATCAGACAAGCAATCCTGGATCACATGGAGCTGCGGTACAAACCAGAAGGCCGTGCCAACTTGGCAACCAAGCAAGGCCACTGAGGACACAAACAATAACGCATCGCTAACAGAAACGCAACCATCATTACCTGTATGCTTATGGCAGAGCAGCCATACTACGCTCCTGATACAACGCCGTCTTTCTGGCGCCTCTTCACCTCGTCGGCCTCTGGAAGCGCCTCGGGCAAGGAGAGCGTCGCAGCGACGCACGGAACAGAGGGGCACGAGGTGGCAGATCGCCTCTCAACTGGTCTCATCCTGCTCCTCCAACTTCCTCGCGGAGTCGTCACTATCTGGAACCCAGTGCTCCCTTGCCTGATAATGTCATTCTGGGGATGGAACCTAGGCCCTAGCCCAGGTCCCGACTTCGGGTTCCTCCCACCCCTCCTCCTACTATCCCCTCCGTGTTCACAGTAGGTTTCGTGGACGGCTACGCCACTTCTAGTAATGTCCATGCGTGTCGTGCGGGACGGAGGGGTCAGGCGGTGTGCTTTCGGGTCACAGGGGGTAAACCTGGAAGTGGAGGCAAGCCAATTCCGAAATTTGTATGGGGCTCTCGACGGGTCCAATGGGGAACGTACGGTTCTTGCCGCGGAGTTCGACGCCTTTGGTGGGCCGTGGAAACCTCCAACGCACCTTTGACTTTGCTCACAACCTGCCAGCTGGTGACGGAAAGAACGAGGTACGAGCGATGACTTTCTAGGTGGGGCAAACCGCCCTCAAGGAGGGGTTCACGGGGGGAATGGGGGCGAGGGTTGAGTAACCTGGCGTAACACGCACGCGCACCACAACAACGGCCCAAGTGGGCCCCAACGGCCCCCCAGGCGGCCCAAGAGGCCCGAAGGCGGCCATGTATGCTCCTAACATGGCCTCTGAGGGACCCACGAGGGCTTCAGGCGGTCCACGATCGCTCCAAGATAACCTCAAGACGGCCTCCTTGGGCCAAGGAGGCCTGGACACCCAAAAGGCTCAAGCGGCAACAACACAGCATGACTTTTGGTTTTTGCATCGTTTCATTTTTTGTATTTTACTGTGATGACTTTCGACCGCCCAAGACGGCCCGAGTGACAGGGCCGCCCCAAGCGGGATACAGACAAGCGCCCATGAGGGGCTCACGACGGCCCAAGAAGCCCCCCACGAGTGGAAGTCCCGCCGCCCTCCCGCCGCCCTCTGAGAGGGCCGTCTCCTTCTCGCCTCCCCCCCCTCGCTCGCCGCCGACCAAGATGACAAGCTTCCTCGTCGTTACCTTCCTCCCCCTCGTCGCCCGCGGGCATTTGTGACGACACCGCCCTGCCTCGTAGGCGTTCTGTCTCGTTCAGAGATACGTATACGGTAAATGTGGCAGCATCGACGAAACCCAGCCAGCAAACAGGTACAGTAGGATCTCGACGACAAGAAACCTTCCACAAGAAACCCAACCCTGAGAACCCAGGGCGTCCATTGTTTTTTGGTTTGGGACCGTCACACTCTCCATACCAAAACTATCGAAGCCCAAGAAACCCAAGGCACCCTGGAGGCAAGCAGGGTGTTTTTTTCTTTTGAAAGTCTGCTCGTGCTGGAAGCTGGTGTGTTTCCCCACTATCCTTAGGTCGGGCGTGCCCCCCTAGAGGCGGATGTTGGGCGAAACAGAAGCAATCAAGCACACATCCAAACAGATTCAGAAAAGAATCAAACAATCGTCCCCAGACTATTTTGTTTACTCCAGATTTCGTAATAAAAGGGAGGGGGTCTGGACCCTCCAAGACAAGCCATTTCAGACCCCCCCCGTGGGAGAACCCTCCAAAACAACGTCCCCAGACCCCCCCAGGCCCTCCAAGATAGCCTGGAAGAGACCCCCCCCCGAAATGAGACCCCCCTCCCTTTATTACGAAATCTGGAGTATCCAAACATATTCAAAAAATAATCAAACAATCGTCCACAGACTATTTTGTTTATATTCCTGCCTGTAGAGGGACGGGCCGGACCTACAATGATCCGCGAGCTGCGGCGGACGCGGGCGGGGGCACTGGCCGCCATAGAGAGCCCAGGCCGCCGCCGAGGCGGCCAGCCCAGCGTCACTTGTCGGCGCGCCTCTCCCTGCTGGTACTCAGGAGGAGAAGGAGGAGGGGGGGGGAGGAGGAAGAGGAAGAGGAGGGGGCGGAGGAGGAGGAGAGAGGAGGAGGAGGAGGAGGAGGAGGAGGAGAGGAGGAGAGGAGGCGGAGGGAGGAGGAGGAGGAGGAGGGAGGAGGAGAAGGAGGGAGGGGGGGAGGGAGGAGGGAGGGAGGGAGGGAGGAGGAGGAGGAGGAGGAGGAGGAGGAGGAGGAGACGGAGCCAAGCCAGGACGAAGATAACATCGGGCGAGGATAAATCGAGAATCTCTGAGGTCCGGCGGCGCTGGAATACATCTCGGGCGCCGCGGCCTTCCCAGAGCGTTCCGGAGCGCTCTGAGAGCGTTCCAGAATGCTTTGGAACGGACGCGCCTCCCTGCTGATACTTGTTGCTGGGCCAACCGTTCTCAAGGGAGGGGTTCCAGGGGAAGGAATAAGGCCGTCGGGGACCAGGTAACACGCCCTCCCCGCCCCCAAAATGGTCCAAATGGGCCCCAAGACGGCCAGAGAATTTGAAACGCCACGGCTCCCAAGATCTCTCAATGTCGTCCAACGCGTGTAACGCCAATGCTCCCGAGAGCTCCAAGTGAAGTGACAAGCTGTGAACGTCAAAGGTCCCAAGACTAGAATGATCGGGTTAACACGCGCGCACCCCATCCAAGGCTGCCCGAGTGGGCCCCGAGTGCGGCCAAAAGGCCACCAAAATGGCCCCGAATGCCCTCAAGACGGCCTACTCTGTACCACTAAAACGGCCCAAGAGACGCATTAGAGGGCACAGATACGGTCCTAGGGCGCTCTGAGAGTGCCAGGTGGCGTCAATATGGCCCTAGAAGAGGGCCCCAAGAGACCCCCAAGAGGGTCTGATAAGGAAACATTTTTTTTTTTTTGGGGGGGGGGGGCGATTTTCATGGTTCTCACCTCCTTAGCTTTTCGACAACTCAAGATGGCCAGATCGCTCCAAAACTGCCTAGAACGACGTCCGAGAGGGCCCCCGAAACGGCCCTCCTGGGTCCCAAGACGGCCCGAGATGCACAGAGATTGTCCCAGAGGCCTGCAAGAGGCCCCCAGCACGGCCCAAAAGGCCCCCACGAGACCCCTAAGATGAAACCAAAAGCCTCTCAAGAGGCCCCCAGGGGGGCCTCAAGAAAACCCAATGACTAACACAATTCTGACTCAAATCTCCCGCCCCCAGACGGCCCAACAACGGACACAACTTTGGCGCCAAGGTCCCAAGAACTTCAAGTGACGGAACAAAAAACCCTTTTCGGACGAGTCGGTGGCGTAAACAACCTTGTGAGTCAAGGCTCCGAAGAGATAGAGAGGGAGAGAGAGAAAGATAGAGCAACGCGGGAGAGAGAGAGAGAGAGAGAGAAAAACAGAGAGAGAGAGAGAGAGAGAGAGAGGGAGAGAAAGAGAGAGAGAGAGAGAGAGAGAGAGATAGAGAACGAGAGAAAGATACATACATAAAGAAAGAGAGAGAGAGAGTGAGGGAACACAATGACGTACGTACAACAACTCTTGATGCAAACAACTCTCAATAACGACTGGCGACAAGAAGCGTGATTAACGCCAACGCTCCGACAAACAACGAAAGGTGCTATGAACCCTCTCGGGCAAACTCCCGAGAACGCTCTTTCCGTTTACGGGCTGGTCCAGGCATGACACGGGTGAGCCCATGGCACCACAACGCATCCCCGTGGTGGGCGGCCTCGTTACACTGCGGTCTCGTATCGAGGAAGCTCAGGCGAAGCGCGGCGCAAACCCTGCGGTGCTTCATTCCTGTTTTTCTCGTCGGGATGTAGACTCCCGCGTGAGTATGATATGATGCCTTGGGATCCTGCCATGTTGCAGTGAAGGCTCGTCGACACAAGACCTTCCACAAAAAACCCAACCCTGAGACCCCAGGACGTCCATTGATTTTCGGTGTGGGAACGTCACGCTCTCCATCGCAAATCCATCGAGACCCAGCAAACCCAGGGCACCCTGGAGGCAAACACAGTGTTTCTTGGCATGGGTCTCCACTGTAAGACTGGGAATCAAGTTAGCCAAGTCGAACGAGTCAGCGGGCTCCGCCCACTCAAGCCGTCCCTCCCGTGACATAAAAATAACCCAATGGTGGTACCACCTGACCTTGGGACTGGCGCGCGTTCGCGCCCAGCGAACAGAAGGCAAGCAGGGTGTTTCTTGGCATTGGCCTCCACTGCGTGGCGGATCGGCTGGCCCACCGCGGAGCGGAGGCCGCCGCGGACCGCCCCCGTGCACGCGAGGGCCGGGGCTCATGACCGGGACGATCGTGCGGCGCTCGTTGCATCGGTCGATCGATGCGGATTCTGGCCTGCCTGTCGTGGGCTAGGGAGCTCCGGGCCCCTCCCCCTCCCCCTCCTCCTCCTCCTCCTCCTCCTCCTCCTCCTCCTCCTCCTCCTGTCCTCCTCCTCCTCCTCCTCCTCCTCCTCCTCCTCCTCCTCCTCCTCCCCTCCTCCCTCCCCTCCTCCTCCTCCTCGCCCCCCCCTCCTCCCCTCCTCCTCCCTCCTCCTCCTCCTCCTCCTCCTCCTCCTCCTCCTCCTCCTCCTCCTCCTCCTCCTCCCTCCTCCTCCTCCTCCTCCTCCTCCTCCTCCTCCCTCCCTCCTCCTCCTCCTCCCCCTCCTCCTCCTCGTCCTCGTCCTCGTCCTCGTCCTCGTCCTCGTCCTCCTCCTCCTCCTCCTCCTCCTCCTCCTCCTCCTGCGATCAAGCCAAGGCGCAGCATAAGTCTGTCACACCCATGCCTCTAGCCAGGCCCGTCCAACGGGCCTCAAGCGAACCAGTCGAAGCCCACGCCGACGAGGTCCGCGATGTGCGAGGCGGGGGGGAAGGGGCAGGCGGCCCCCTCCCTCCACGGGAGGGCACATCATCGCCGACCCTTCCGATGCCTCCCCCCCCCCGCGCCGTTGCCGGCCGGGGGCCGCGTCTACCGCCTCCACGAGCCAAGGTCGGAGTCGGTGGAGCGGCCAGGCGGCGTAGCGCGGCTGAAAGTCAACCGCGCGCGCCCCAGGCGTGCGGACCCACGCCGCGATGAGCGCGGCCCGCCCCGCCGACTCGCCCAGCACGGGCTCCAT